TATTAATTCAAATGTTCAAATAGAATTTTATCAAATTTCAAAATGATTGCAATGAAATTTACACCTTTCTAATTCAATCCAATTCTGGAGTTTTGAAAATTCGCAAGACTCCATAAATGCTTTTAGTAACTACTTCTTCAAATGATGAAAATATGAGATGAAACCTTCGACATTACCATCTATCTATTACAAAACAAACATTCTGATGGCAGCCGCTGCAAAACTTCGTTGAATTTTAAACCCGTAAAACTTCACTCCCAAAAAGCAGTTATTAAGGGTCATTGCTGCACATATAATGCAGCCGATATACCGGTTGAAGTTTCCCAGAAGCTCTAACCGAAACACTGAAAATAAAAATGTCATGCAGATCCACGTTTCAGGATAATTTTATTCCCTTTCGTCCTTTTGAAAAATGCTAAATAATTGTTTTTGCATAATAGAGAGCAGTAACTTTGTAGATCTATCATGATGCACGACGACAATTTGACAACACAAATTTTCAACATTTATTTAATCAATAACTACATATCAATGAATGTTGAAATACAGCACTACAAACTTCTGATATTCCGGTAGAATCGGTGAGATAGCACTGCCCAATTTTTGGACATTTCATTTTCCCTTGTTTGCTTATAATCTAGAACTCCAAAAACTTACATAATTTTGCAACAATATGCATCATTTTTAGTTAGTAGCGTATTTCTACCTTGATTCTGACACTCGGAACTAAATTTAAAAAACTTAATCTTAATCTTAATTCCAGTGATTCATATATCAGATCATAAATTGTTTGCAATTCACTAAACTTTTTCTGGATAAAGCACTCATTTTTTCAACAAAGCAAACGCTTAAAATTAATTTCCGACTCCTACGTGCACGATCTCTCCACGATCCTGCTACGCTTACTATATAAAACTTATGGAAAAAACTTTTTTCTAGTGTCGACAGTGATCTGTAAGAATGGTTTGAATTTTAGAGAGATATATCAAAAAAGTGAAGATAGTCCACAAGTCTTCATCGCAGAAAACTATTTCCTTATGGAAAAGTTTAACTAACACCTTATTCAGGAGTATAATTAAAATATCAAAATAAGCAGAACTGTGCATACCACAATCTGTATTACACCCAAAGAGTGGTACCTCTACATCAAAACATGTAAGAGTTCCCAGTTGATCTTTGAAACCCATAAAATCTATCTAGCTTTATTTGCAAAACATTGGCCAACAAGGAATTTATTTCAAATTACATCATTTCAAACCAATGTAGAGAAAAGGAAGGAATCAAGCAACAATATAAAAAGCAAAAAAAAATTTCATTAATGTGAAAAAAGTGATTGAGGAAAAGATAAAAAGATCGATGCATGTTTCACCTCCATTTTAAAGAATAACATCAGACATGTAACGTTATCAAACATATACAGTTGTAATAATTCCTTCGCTTTTGAAATATTTTTTCTTTTTCCCAATAAATAAGTTTTCTGCGAAATGCATGTCATTGAGGAATTGCGCCGATCAGGACTTCTTGATTTTCACTATAAAAAATCCTCAAACAGTACAAAACATGGCAGTCCAATCGTTGCTATAGAAATTTACGAGAATCGCTCCCCTTTCCTAACAACAAACATGATAGAAAAAGTGCTACGCAATCTGAATAAGCTTTAAACGACACGAATTTAAATAAAAAAAGGAAAAAGTGGAAAAAACCGCAATGAAATTTCGACTTAAACATAAATTGCCCCGTGTAAAATTGAAATTTAGAAAACTGGATACCAAAAAGCTCAAAATCTTCAACCGCACTAGAACTGGATGAAAACATGACGATATAATCCCAAAGATTGGAAGAACGACAGAGAAGATTTAGCAAGATTAGAATGCCATCACCTGATAAAAATTTCGAGACAAACAATTCACTAGGACTAAAATATGATTTTGAAGAAAAATTATAGCAGCAATACACTGGAAGTTTATCAAAAATAAGCAATATGATTGAAAGGAAACTGGAACAGAAAAGTTTTAAAAAAAATTTGGACCGAAAAAAATCATCTAAAAAATCACAAAAAACTTTAGGTCATTCATCACTATTAAAAAATATAGTTATTACAGTCAAGAAAATCCGCATAACGATCGTTACTATCATTATATCATCGACTATAGCTGAGAATATATAAGTATATATATTTTCATATCATTTTATCTTATCATAATTGGGGAACAGCATTCAAGCCACTTCCTTTTCTTCACCCTTTGCATCATCCTTCTTGTCTTTCTTCATATCTGAAATGGATGGAATGACCGTACAAAATTATCCATGCTTCCGTTTCACTCAAACGTGAAGTCTAATTCCTCTTTCAAGTCACTAAGATCCAAAAGTTTTACAACGAAGCATGTTTAAAAAGGTATGATTGCGAAGCACGACGAAGGGTGCAGAAATTTAAATGCTCCTTTTCCATTACACTATTTTTTTGCGAAAATTTTCGAAAACTGGGATAGTATTTAAAAATTTTGCTCTGATTACAGCCGCTTGAATACTGCTTGTATCACTTTGTAAAAAAGGTCTAGTTCTCCATTTTGAGTAGAAAAGATTCAGAGCCGTCCAGGACTGTTTTCGAATTCGTTTTCCGAAGATTTCTTCATTACTTCTAAAAACTTTTTCAAAATTTTCAAAATATTTAAAACTTGATTGACTGCCTGGTCTGCTTTGTGTGCAAATACGTAACAAACTATAAACAGAGAAAAAAATCCATATCCTAAACAAACAAATTAAATCCAATTCGTTCACATTTGAAAATATTATAAACTAATCTTTTGATGCATATTATGAGGCAGAAAGCATATAAAACTTCCTTGATTAGAAGCAAATCTATAATAAAAATATCAGTTACTTTCAAATGCCCAAGTATGAAGTTCAAGTGGCCAAACAAAGATCAAAGTTCATGAATCATATTTCGATGTTCACTTCACAGATTATTCGCCGTCCTTACTAATATCAAACATCTGCTGAGAAAGTAAAAAAGAAGTCTCAGATCGAGAGACAATATCCAAAGATGAGAAGTTATCAAGTTCAATAAAAGCAATAATTTTCTAGAAAAATCAACAGATGAATTCATAAGCTTCAAAAAATGCCAATTTAGTGAACTATGTAACCGAATATATTTTCATAAGCAGAAGGAAGTACCACAGATTATAAACACTAACTTCAAAACCTGGACATCCAAGCCGCACAAACAATCGAAGGTAATGCACTTAGCAAATCCCCTGTGTAACATTTATTAAAAATAACACGCTATAAAGCGGTACTCAAAAAGCACCTTTTCTTGCTCAAATAACTAAAAATCACTTTGAAATGACTATAAAGGATGACTTCAGGACTTATTTCCTTCCCATCTTCCCTGCCCCAGTGACAACGAAAATTGGAAACATGGAATTTCTTAAATTCCAGATGAATTTCAAGAGAATAATTCACTGAGCTGATTGTGCTCTTGTGTCACATTTTCTGGGAACAAACCTGAAATAAAGTAAGTCCCACGTAATGCAGAATGAAAAACAAAATGATTAATACAAATACTAGCACCACAACAGCAACATAAAGCAAGATGACCAAAATGTTTCCCAGGATAATTTCTTATAAATGAGTCGTAGGAAAATCAGGTTAGGTAGGTCATGAGGATTCCTAAATAATAGTGTTAGAATTAGAAGCTGCATAAATTACGATTCTTCGTGTCCAAAAATAGGATTCCTTGAATAGGTCGAAACTTTCAAAAACAGGAATTCCATTTGAATTTTCAAAATTAAAAAAGAAATGTGGAAGCATCACGAAAAAGGCAGAGCATTCCCAGAAATTCCAATTATCTGGATTCCTGTGATCAAATCAAGCCTTATAGCATGAAATGCCAATAATTTTGCCGGAAAACGCTTGCAGCTGATAAAAAATTCTTTAATTTGCTCCGAACAGATACAACATAAAAATATGTTTTCCCCGTAACACATGTGCTTTCCCTTATGCAATTTTATTAACTTAGTTGCAGGAATCCTTGAAATTAAACTATGAAATTAAAAACTGATTTGCAGGAAATGTATTAAGAAAATACTTGTTGGATAGAAAAATTACAGGCACAAAAGGTCAAGAAACAAATCAGCAAGAAGTGATGTGCTACGTAACAGGTTTGGAATTTAGCGAAGTATAGATTTTCCTCACAGGAACAGTAGCATATATAACAAATTAATCGACCGTTACTTCACGGGTGAAAAAAAAAGAAATGTGATAACGGAGCTTTTTGGCAAATTCCAAAACAACAGCAGAAGAAAATCAAGGCAAAGAAAAATACTATATAGCTCACACTGTTTTGTATGCAGTTTTATTATACTTATCGATGCACCGAGAAAGATGTATCAAAATATTCACGATCCACAATCAAACAAAAGTACCCCTTTTTCAGAATGGTTCGAAATCAGTCTCACATGCTGCTTACACACAGACTTCGAGGGCTTATTTCGCAGAGATGTATACCAAAAACTATGCAAATAAATAACCCAGACACTATTTTATGAATGAATTTCTCTAACATTATCACTTTTTCCACCAAATGATCACATCATATTTAAAGACAATCATTACAGTTTCTATCAATCAATAAAAGGAAAATGATTAATTCTTATATATCAACTCAAAATTAATGTTATGAATCTAGTTCTGATATTTCTCCGTGTTAAAATAACTGGTCAGATAACGCAAACCCGGAAAGTATTACAGTACAAAAATATTCCGTGTGAGAGAGTTTTGAAAAAACTGAAAAACTACTACATGACAGCTTTCGATCGTTTAGCGGATAAAAAATGAAACTGAAATTTTAATTTCAATAAAAATCCAAGTAAATTCACCAGTGGATGATACGCTGTAGGCTCAAAAGACAGCAGCATGCAAAGACAGATACAATTTGATAATCTCGGAAAAAAGAACATGTGAACAGTTGTGCTGGCATAAAGAACAAAACGACGTACAAACTAACCGACAACCTCACCATCATCGAGGCTTGCGTTAGAATCACGTGGACGTTTGCGATCATTTAAAACATTTCCGCTTCCAGTGCTGCTAGTACTATTACCACTGCCATAGCTATTTCGAATGTCAGGCAAACGATCGACTGCGAGCACTTTATACATTTGATTGAAAGCGATGAGACGTAACGCATGCTGTGAACTGGATGTGATATCTTCCCGCTGTTGTCCGGTAAGCTCCGTAAGCACATCAACTGACTGCTTTTCGCACGGGTCAATAAGCCCAGGTCCACCTTTAAATTGATTTATGAAAACAGAATTTATATAAAAAATTGTTCTAGCGGTTAGTCTGACTGAAATCAACTAACTCAGTCAGATCATTGTTCAAAAGCATATTTAAAAGCCAGTATTTTGAACCAGCTAATTAGACTTTGCAACTATACTTTTGATTTTTCATTTCTTCTACCCTTGAGAGCCAAGATTTTCATTTTAACAAATGGAATGAAATTATACTTACATGAGAATAAAATACCAGATGCAACAGCTTCAAAAACGCGACGGACAGCATCACCGGGAGACAATGGAGCACCAAGTGATGATAAAACCTTCTCAACTAGCAATTCTGTCATCTAAAACCAAATCAGAAAAATAATGTTGAACCATCAACAATATCAGTTGGAAAAAGTTAATGATATTTATTTAGACATTATTAGAATATGCATGAATACCGCAATAGGTACTAGCTATTTATTTAATTCAGATTATCGTTAAAACGTCAGTTTACTCACCCAAGCTCTCAATGGCTGCCATGTTTGCACACGCTGACGAACATCGCGTAAAATACGTAAGGTTATTGCAGCAGACTGTAAGTTTGAACATCTAACCTGCAAAATACTAAATAAGTTAATGAGCATAACCGATCGGCAAAATAATTTTAAATGTTCAAAAGATAATTTGAATGAAAAAAATTTTCTAAATTTCAATCAATTTTTGAGTTTCTTATTAAGTGCTAATATCGAATTTTAAATCAAGTTTTAAGAAATAACTCAAATATTTTACATAATTATTTTCGCCGACAAGATAATATAATGCATACATGCGCTTTTTTTTGCACATTGAAAACACCTAGAGTTTCATTTAGCATAGAATTCTGCGCATGTATGATTTAAGGTATGCACAAAGATTAATGGGAATACATAAACTAGAGCCTTTGTCAAATGTTTTCACCAGAAACAGGTGACAATGACCTTACAAAAAAAGGAAAAAAACCGCGCAGCAGCAATTTAAGGGTCGGAAAATTTCCCATACTAATATCCTAATTAGGAAACTATTCAATGCAAATTAGTATAAATCACAGACCAATACAATCGAAATGGAGCACAGCTTTTTTTTGTTTTCGTCTGCTCAATAAAAATTAAAGTTTAGAGAAAAACAGTGTTTCTGCAAAAATTCTTAAATTTCTTCCAATCATGAATCCAAATGTGCAATAACTTACTTTGGATTGACTAAATATCCACTCATCGCGAGTATTAACTATCAATTACTTCGTGCTGCAGAAAATTTGTTAGATAATTTTCCAACCCTATTTCGAAAATCACAACACATACCTGGAACCATTTGGCGTGTCTCAGTTCAGCCAACGCTTCCAGGCAAGGGACCTTCGGCAGAGGGTCCTTTGGCGGTGCAGCTTTCGCGCCTGCCGCTGCCGTAGCTCCATCACCTTCTGATAAAGAAATAAAAGCAATAATAGAAAAGAAAAACGCATTCAAGCAAATTAAAAACGATGAATATCCCAAAGTTTTCAAATCTTAGGAGTGGAGATCCCAATTCACTAAGAAAAACCATATAGGATATTCATAGTTAGAAGGACGGGATTCTTTCTGTCTTCTTTCTCCTTTGAAAACAACTTTCTCGAAAAACTCTGCAATCTTGAAATCTCCATTACATGTATGAAATATCTTTTCCTAAATTACACTATAAGTTATATTGTCCTTTTTTTTGCAAACTGAATTACTAAACTTCAATTCCCTCAATTTTACTCTTAAAACAGAAAAGTTATAAATACGGTGATAACTCCGCCTTTCGTTGAATGCGTTAGCTACAAAAACGAGCACACACATCCTTCTAATGATGGTTCTCAAAATCGACTGCTTCAGCTATTTAAAAAGACTCGAATTTGGTTTGAAAAACTAATCAAAATTCTTTGTATTTCACTCAAATAATTTTAAATTAGATTCGGAAATCTTGATCCCACTACAGAAATATTGAGAACCATGTAAATTCATAAAATTCTTAGTGAGGCAAGCAGAAATAACGGATACAGCGTCAAATCCAACAATAATAGAGAATCCGAGAATGTTATTTAAATTGTTAGAAGGAAGTGCTGGAACTGCAAATGCTTCCTTTCTTAATTTTAATCTAAAGATGAATCCTCATAAATAAAAAATAGATCCATCGTGTTTGTAATAACAAATTACCAGCTAAGACTGATTACAACAAAACAGATATGTTAAAATTCAAAAAGCAATTCAAAACTGAAACAATTTTCTTTCAAACATCTTCTCTAACTCTGCACTTGGGAGACTAAATCAAAATTGCACTTGCTGAAGCGATGGAATGAAAGACTTGTTCTATCAGAACAAAATAATATGAAAATTTCATTCGGATTCAAATGCTAAACAAATTTCTTTCAGAA